TCCAATGAACTTCTATTCTTGCCCCCTACCCATTGTGTATTAGCATCCACATATTAGAGAGAACATTTGGCCTTTGGTTTTGGGGATTGGCTTATTTCACTTAGTATGATACTCTCCAGTGAAAATGGCATTTCAAATCATGAAATTGAATGAGATCACTTACGATTAGAGTATACATGGAGGAGAAAAGAGTGTTTGAACTCTAAGATACTCCAACCTCAAGAATTTGGAGGAGTCAAGGAGAAACCAGGAAAGAAGACTGAGAGTACCAGTGAAGTAGAATGAAAAGCAGGTCCACTAGATCTGGCTTCCAAAATGTCTTCAGAATGCACAAAATATTCCTAGATCAGAACCTGACAACTGGTTTATTCCAGTCAATTGCCTTTCAAAAATTACAGTGGCGGGATGGACTATTACTACACAAATGTCCTGCTACCAGATGCACTCTGTGTCCGTTAGTAATTGTGTTTCTCTCTTTCTCTCTCCACATGGTATTCAGTTTGTAAAGTTTAATTAGATACTTTTTAGAATACATATTAATACCATGTTTAGAGGTTGATATATTTATAAATTAAATATGAAGGTTTAGAATGGAGCAGAAAATTCAGTTGTTTTATTAAGCAACAGAAATTATGGTTTTAGAATATTGACAGTTTTATATTTTGAATATCCTTGTTGGTGAAAAATTGCTTTCCTTTTGAGTATGGATTTAACTCTTGACAATATCTATAGTCATTTGTATGTTGTTAAGTAGAATGAAAATTGGTAAATCAATAAAACATTCTAGAAAGTAATTTGGCATGATATACTAAAAGCCTTAATTTTTATATACACATTGACAGAATAATTTTGCTGACAGAAATTTATTCTAAAGAAATAGTCTTAGCTATGTACAAAGACTTTTTATGTTATTGTTCATAATGGTGAGATGTGGGAAGCAATCTGAATAGTATTGTGTTTGAAAACAGAAGTGTTGAGATATTACTTCTACATAATATATAGGGCCATTAATGCTCATTATAATAGAAAATATCGAATGAGACAAAAAGTACTGAAAAGAGAGATATAAAGCAGTATGTGAAAAACTAAATATACACCTAAATGGGAACATACATATATACAAAAGATGAATATGTTTGAAAATGCTAAGATTTATTCCTAGATAATGTAATTGAGAATAATTTTCTTTATCTTACTTATATTTTCTAAGTGAATAATTCTCTTTATCTTACTTATTTTTTTCTAAGTGTTCTAATGTGAACATATATTAATTTTGAAACCATAAAAGTGAAACTTTGACAGAAGATAGAATCATGGATCCTTTACACATATGTCTGATGGTTAATTTGGGTATTCAGTCTTTGCAAGTAGTAAAAATTATAACAGGAATTGCAAAATTATTTGGGATAGTAGCAACATCATTGAAATAAATGAATAGCTTCCCAAAGAGAATAACTTGAAAGGTAAGACTGATTTGGATTTGGAAGATCTGAGAATTTTTTGTGAGTGGTCTATTATAAATTAAGTTATAATTTATATAGTAAAATGCAGAGATCTTAAGTATATAGTTCAAAAAGTTTTGACAAATGTGTACATTTGTATAACCAACACTCAAAATTAAAATGTAGTTGATATAAAAAAATTATTTTCTCTAGACATTGTCATACCTTTAATAATTTTCCAAAGCAATATAGAGGATAATTTCTCTTCATTGATATGTGGGATCTTGTGCCTTGGTCTCACCATCTCATGGAATGTATGGGACCAAGTCAGAAGCAACTCATGTGGGCCTTCAGTGATAATGTCCTGTTTGCCCTGTTGGTTTTGTGGGTTGTCCAACTTAACAGAGGCTGAAAAAGCCTCCTCTCTGAAAAGGCAGCATTTCCCAGGTGCTTGCCTGATTCTAGTCAAGCAGGTCTGTCCTTTAGCAGGGCCAGAGGTGTCGGTAGGTCTTACAGGAATTTCTACCAAGGAATTGCATGCAGATTGCATTCACTTGCTACTTTCTATTTCCCATCTCCTGTTTATTAAATAAAAGAAAAGAAAAACTGTCTTTTTAAAAATTTTGTATCTTAATGGGAAATCTTGTCAATTGAACAATTGTTTCTTTCCACGTACTTCTCTTTAAACCAGGAATTTTTATTGTACCAACATTTTCTCTTTTTTGAATTCTTCCAGGCCAAAATAAAGAGAGACCAAGTTAATACACAATTTTCTGGAAATCTCCAGACTTTTTTTTACATAGAAAAAGTCACAAATGTATTGGTAAAGCTACCTTCTACATAGAGGTTACAAAATCTGTCGGTCCATCTCACCTGGACCTACTATGAATGGGAAGGACAGCTTTATTCCATGTACAGGCCAGGAAACCAAAGCTCAGAAAGATTAGATGCCTGAGACCAAGCCCTGAAACAAGTCAATGGGGGAGATGACATTAAAACCCTCACCTTGGAACTGGGTGCCTCCACAGAAACCACAGTTTAGCTATGTTGTAAAAACTGTGTTCTGTTGTTTTTCCCAGTAGCTTATAAACTCCTTGTATCTTCTAGTTCCTGCTTTGCTTTTGGATCCCCAGCACTTAATCTGGCACTTGGCATGGAATAAATGCTTAAAAAAAGTTTGTTGAATGACAAAATGAAGGAAAGAAATAAAGACTTTGGATTCCGACCCCAGGGAAAACTGTCTTTCTAATAACTATTTTCCTCATCCTTTGAATAATATCTAGGATATTTGAGTTGTCAAGTTTGAATGGCCTGGTTTTGGACAGGGAGAGGAATAAATAAGAACTCCCTTCTTTTTGTCTTTATCTCAAGTCCTCCAGTGATTTCTGACTTGTTAGGCCAGAGGGATGGTTGTACATCCCAACATATCTCTGAAACTGTTTCGTGGGACCTTCTTTTGCCAGACTATTCTGAATCATGAGTGTCAACCCTACTTGCACAAAACTTAAAGAAAGCTTTTTTTCTAGTATTGAGGCCCTGGGAAGCATCCATTTTCTGCAGTAATTCCAGATACTTTCAACCCATTGTGGCTCTGAGTAGCAGTTTCACATTATTGTTGGGCTTTTATTTCTTGTTTCTTAGAGTTGTTGTGTCATTTAAAAGACCTCCTGACAGTGTCATTTAGTTATCCTGGTGGTTTCTGCAGCCAAGAGGTCTTCTGGAACATGGAATAACAATAGTAACTTATCCACAGGGATTAAGTTAAGCACTTTCATGGCTTATCTTATTTAATTCTTAAAACCAACCAGTGAAATTATTGGTATTATTTTGGCTCTCTTTTGTAGACAAATTAATTGAAGCTAAGAAAGGATAAGTATTTATAGATTGTTGGGGCTAGGATTGTGGCTCTGTGATACAATCCTCGTCTAGCACATGTGAGGGACTGAGTTTAAGCCTCAGCACCACACAAAAAAATAAATTAATAAATAAAACAAAGGTATTGTGTCCACCTATAACTAAATTTTTTTAAAAAAAATTATAGATTGTAAATAATGGTACTGAAATTCCAACCCAGGTGACCTGACTATAGTAATTATGCTCCGAAGAGCTGTACTATATTTTCTCCCCAAATTAATCCCTTCCATTTGTTTGTTCTTGAAATTATTATGTGTGATTGGTGTTAACTTGCCCTTGAGAAGTCCCATAACTCGCCTTCTGTTCTGTGGTGTGTGTCTCAAGAGAGCTACACCTAGCAGAATCTGGCCTTCTAAGAGGCCAGAGGTGTTGATGACTCCTGGCTAAAATACCTATCCTTGATCCTGCTTCTAGTTGGTACCCAAGGTTTCTGACATAAGGTAAAGAATTAGGTCCCACAGCCTTCAACATGCATACACTGCCAATTAATTTCCAATATGGAATACTTGGCTACAATAGTTTCACTTCTCTGTTAAGAGATCCTCTACCCCAAGAATGGTACATTTCATTCAGTTATCACTGATCTCTCTTCCTTCATTTAGCTGCAGCAAAAACTCTTGATTATTCTTCCTAAGATAACTTGATAAAGTCTGAATCAACCCTGATTTTATTTAGAAGTCTTCCTTTTATGCAACGTGGCTCTGAGCTTCAGGAAGACATGAATTAGGTTAATTATCCTTAGCAACAAGAAAAATATTAGGAACTCCGTAAATTTTGATGAATGATGAAATGATAATTACCCTGTGTACCCTCCATGTGGGAATCTCAGGTGTTGATGACCTAGAATGGTCTTAGTGCCACTAGAGACTACAAAGTAACCTCTAAGGAACTAAATGGCCCTCTACTCTCCTTAATGACTTGTAAGTGGCCATTCTGCAGTCATTTAATGGGAAAGGACAGGGTTTAATGCTGCATCCCAGCATTAAACCCAGACCTTGTCCTGAACAAAGGCAGGCACTTAGGAACTTGGAGAATGGCCAAATAATGGCATCCACACTTAAGAAGTAGTTGGATAGAGAATGCCTGCCCCCATCACCCCCAAGAGACTTGAAGCACTTGCCTAGAGTGAGGAATATTTCCTTTGACAAAGTTAGTGCAGCCCTTACATTTCCATCTTCCCTTACTTGACATTACTCTGGGTCTGGATATTTACTTCGTTCAATGGACTAGAACTTGTAACCCTTCCTGAGAGATCTGTGGTGTTTTCAGGTCACCTTATAGGATTTATATTGCTTTATTTATCACAGTACTATCTTCCAAATGACCAGATGTATTTCTTTCTACAACACACACTTAGATTTCATTCTTATCCAGCTGTCATTTGTACTGCATACAGGGAAAATGCTTGTATGGAATTTCAGGGATATATTCTTTTTGATTGACCTCCTTTGTACCTGCATGATTATGTACACACATACATATTGGCTTGTTTTATGGGATCAGATTATGTCTGGCCAGGTGATAATTTGTTGAGGAAACTGTTATTATAAATTGTTAACAAATACAGAATTCTTTTTTTCAGTTCAAACTCAGGAAAAAGTATCTGGTGCTAAACAGTTCTTTCTTTCTTTTTTATTTTTCCAGGCAAGAAAGCTAATCAGTGACTTTGCCATTATCTTGTCCATTCTCATATTTTGTGTAATAGATGCCCTTGTAGGTGTGGACACTCCAAAACTAATTGTGCCAAGTGAGTTTAAGGTGAGTGTCTATCTTTTGCTTGTTTCTTGAATTCTGATATTTTGCCTTTCCCCTGTTCTAGTTTATTGTGTGTCTCAGTTAATTTTGTATAATTATCCATTCCTTTCAAAAAAGCAGTTCTTTGTTAGACTCATTTATACAGTTAGTCATTATACTGACTTCACTAAAATGCCAAGACTAGGATCAAATGCAAGGTTCATATTGAATTGATCTTTATTTTAAAGTAATGGATAACATTATAGACCCAGCCTCATATTTTTAGAATATTTAAAATACCTGAATTATTTTCATATACTTTATTGTCTTGATCCATGCAATAATTCTAGGAAGTGTGCAACATAAGTAACATCATTGTTATTTTATAAAGTTGAGATTGAAGCTCATGAAAAATAAATAAAACGTCTATGGTTAACTAGTGGTATCAAGGATTGAAGTTAAAACTAAAGCTCAGGACTCCTAATTCAATTTTCATAGTATCTAACTACCTGCCAAACACATTTGTATATAATGTGAATTTTAACTATTACAAAAAAAGAATAATAATTATTTATTTTGCAAACTCATTGGTTTATCCAGGTATACTGGACAACAACTACATTTTAGCCATCACTAAATATGTCACTAGCTAATTTTCTGTTGTAAGCCTCTTACCTATTTTCTCGAATAATCCTCACTCTCTGCACTGTTGAGATTGTATATGTGCTAAGAAATATTAAATTGACTGCAGTTTTAGTATAATAACAATTTAATGAAGAAAGGATATATATGGTGCAGCAAACAATATTTTTGGCATTATCTGCCATCACATATTTGTCAACAAAGATAAGTTCTCATTCATTCAACCATTAATTCGATATTTATTAAATGTTGGCTTTGAGCTACACTTTATATGGGGGATTTAAAATGCATTAATGAGCAAGACAAAGTACCTTCCCTTATGAACTCACAACCTGTTAAATGTGGGAAACATGGATACATTCAGTAATAAAGTTATGAGCAAGGGTGTCCAAAGATAGAAATAGCCTCAGAAAAAATGTGAGACTTTCTTCATTGATAGAAAACCTGGAGAAAATAATTCATAAGACAGTATTCTAGTTCATTTCATTATTTGAATTGTTTATAATAAGGAAGCAAAGGAAATTTTTTTCTGAAATAGACATGTATTATCTGACAGAAAATAGACTGAGAACTGGAAAAAATGACCTTTTTTTTTTCTTCAGTTTTCTGTGATATGTATAAGGATTTAAGTAGTTCTTCTGGATCAATTTTAAATATGAAATGAAAGATCAGGATGTTTAATTTAGTTCAATTACAAAATATTTAAAGCTTTTTATATATGATGAAGCTATTATAATTTGGTAGTAGTAAAAACAACTTCATTATAATTGCTAAAACCCAAGAACAAAACTCATGATGATTCTACCTCTTTGCTGAATATTACATTTAGGGTTGTCTCCTGGATTCCTATAAAATTTAAATCACTTTTTCTATCTTGAGTCCTTATCTGAAAACACCCCAAGTCCATACAGTGGTATCTCCTGCTTTTCCAACAACCCATATTCTTTCTTTCCTGCCTTTAAACATAACCTTTAAAATAAAATTCTTTAGAAAGATTTTTGGTAAAAAATTTCCTTTATCCAGCCTGGTTTGTATATATATCCTCCACTGATTTTTTTTTCACCAAGTAGTATGTAGTAACTTGATATGGTTTTGAAAAATATTCTTTTTCTACTTTAAGCCAACAAGTCCAAACCGAGGATGGTTTGTCCCACCGTTTGGAGGGAACCCTTGGTGGGTTTACCTTGCTGCTGCCATCCCTGCTTTGTTGGTCACCATTCTGATTTTCATGGACCAACAGATCACAGCTGTGATTGTAAATAGAAAAGAGCATAAACTCAAGGTAAGTGCCCATAATAATGGTTATCTGCCTTCTACAGTTTTTGTAGTGCTTGATGACACTTACTGATTCAAAATCAAGAGAGCTTTCCTGGGAGTTAAACCATAGCCAATGTTCCTTAAGACTTTACAGTCATAGAACCCCTTGTATTGACATGGGTCCTCAATATAACTCTTTAGGGAGAATCATTTAAATCAGAAAGTTGTGTTTCAAATTATGTTTTAGTCACTACCAAAAAGTGACAATGAACAACAATCCTACTTCAAGTTTTAATGTGGTAACTGCCTGTAGTGAAGATGGTGGCATTTAAAGATTTAGTGAACATCTACTGAGAACCTGCTCTGTATTACTCTGTTAAACTCAAAATTATTCTTTTTTTTTTCATTCAAAAAATGTTTTAGGTGTTGGGAATGTAGCTCAGTGGTACAGTACTTTTCTGTTATACATAAAACCCTGGGTTCAATCTCTAGGAATACACACACACACACACACACACACACACACACACACACACACACACAATTGTACATAGTTATGGGTTTCAGTGTGGTAATTTGGTATGTGTATACCCTGCTTAGTGATCAAATCAGAGTAATTATCATTTCCATCTCTTTAAACATTTATCATTTCTTTGTGTTGGGAATCTTCAAAGTTTTATTCTTAAAGATTATTCAGGTAGTTCATGTTTATAAGCTTTTGGTAAACATTTATATTTTTTGTCTTCCCACATTTGTCTCAGAATATTACTGACCATCAAGTATGGAGAAAGATGCTTTATTTTGTACATTCTAGCTTTTTTTTTAATTAGTTGCTAACTTTGTCATGAGTCTAAGAAAAGAAAATGTATTAGTTGTCTAGGATATCTTTCATGAGAACTGCCTAAAATGTTCTTATAATGTTTCTCCATCTCATGATTTCTTTAGGCCATGAAAGATTTCAAAAATGCCATTTGGGGAAGTGAGATATGAATAATAACTCTAATAAGAGCTCTAATTTGTTGGATGCCTATTATGAGTCAGGCCATGTTCTAATCACTTTATGTTATATATTAATTCATTAACCTTTTTCATAACTACCAAATAAGGGAAGCATAAAAATGCATTAAGATCAGTCACCCAGAATCAGGAGAGGAAATTATAATGAATTGAATTCAACAGAGAAGATGTAGTAGAAGGAAAAATACAGAAAATGAAAAAGAATTGTTTGACTATGGAAACCCACTGGGTGGAGGAATAAGAAAGATGAGGAGTGTTATGATAAACTTTCCAATTAGAACTTGGATCACAGTGAGAAAGGAATTAATCCCATAATAAGAAGACTAGGAGAAGAAGAAAACTAAGAGCTTGGGTCAAAGAGGAGAGAAGTTTAGATTTTGAAAGTTTGGGGAGAGAGAAATATGAGAGTGATGAGCTGATCCAAAGTGTGCAACTAGCTCCTGAAGCACACTGGAGAAGACATTGGGGTGTTGGGAGTCCAGGGTGTTGAAAGTCTCATTTGCATCAGTGTTGATATCGTTGGACAGCACAGAGAGTGGTCAAGAGGAAGATCCAGGAATAGATGCTGAAGTCATAAGGCAGGTATGTACTGATGTACCTGTCCTGGACATAAGCATGTTTAGTGATATGGAATGTTAGAAGGAAGCAGAACTTGGGCTTCAAGAGAAGAGAAATAGTTTGTGGAATCACGAAAATAAGTAACATGTACTCCACCTGATATAGGAAGTTAGAATAGTAGACTTCCACTAAAAAAAAAAAAAAAGAAACATCTTCAGGGAATCACTGGTACAAAAGAAAAATACTGGTGTTCAGTTATGATCAAAGAAAAGGTTCATTTGGAAACTTAAATTAAAATGACTCTCCTTCTACCCTTTGCCATAAGCAAATACTGTCCTGCCTTGAGATAGTTTTAATTCTAAGATTGTTGTTTAGCTGCTTATGTATTTATGCCTTGCCCCCAACTGGACAGTCAGGACATAATTCATATATTCACTGAATGCCTTATAGTGCCTGGCTCTCTACCTCATATTATTCTAAGCAAAGATATTCATTCTAGGGGCAATTAGTAAACAGGATGAGGGCAATTCTTTAGTCTTACCATCTTGTTTTCTGTTGCTCAGGATTTTATGCCTGTGTTTGATGTTCTTTAGAAAAATGATTTTTTTATAAAAAAATCAGTAAATTACTTTTTACATTTTATCACCCAGTGAGTTTCAAAATTTGTTTTTAAATTACAAGATTATTAACAGCCATGAAATTCTTCTGTACCTTAACAATTCAGCTGTTATGGGGGAAAATAACAGAAGATGGCATCTTTTCTTTATGAAGATCTTCTTGCATTTCTATCTTTTTTTTTTTTTTTTTGGACTAATCTCCTTTAGACTGAACTATCTCCTGTATACAGTATTTACCTACCAGGACTTAAAAACTTTTCCCCACTATGGTCTTCAGGTACTAAATTCACTCATTTTTGTTTGACTAATATGTTTTTGTTTCACCCTCATTTGGAAAGGTAGTTTTCTGGATAAGTGATTTCAAGTTGAGATATTTCACTACTTAAAAGCTATTTTTCATCATTTTTTACTTCCATAAAAGTAGTATGTTGCTATAATTTTAATTGCTTTATAAATAATCTGTCTTTTCCTTTTGGCAATCTATGATTATTTTTTGTCTTTGTTTTAGAGTTTCACTACAATTTGTAAAGCATAGGTTTTATTATATGTTGGATTTATTTAGTTTATTTTATTATATGTTGGATTTATTTAGTTTATTGAATCCAAAGATTAGCCTCTTTTGTCATTTATAGAATTTTATATATCTTTGACCCATTCAAAATCTAATACATCCTTCTAGAATTTCACATTAAATATGAATTACATATTTCCATCTTGTTCTCCATGTCTGTTGATCTGTTTTATAAATATTTCCCATTCTTGGTTCTCTTTGTGATATATTTTAGGTATTTTTTTCAGGTCTTTCTTTTAACTAATTCCTTTGTTGTTGTTTTTGGTTCCATTCTACTACTGAAGGTTATTTTTCTGTGACTTTTTTGAACATTTTAAAATGTTCTCTATTGCGAAGGATTTTGGTGTTGATTTAGTTCATCAAAGACAAAAATGGATATTGACCAATACATTTTCATTCCAAAAACAAAATTAGAAATCAATTCTTAATTTTAATCTTCATTTGGTTAGATATGTTATGTACCTTTGGAGGTAAATGCCTATTCTTTTTTGCTCATTAAGTTTTCTTATCAATAAGAATTTTCTCAATAAAATTCAGAACTTAAAATTTAGAAAAGTTAGGATTGATAAAATATGGGAAAAACTATTCTCTTCTTCAGAGAAAACATTAGACAATTGAGTTGTATTAGCATTTGCCTCTAAAAGTAAGAGTTGAGTGTATAAAAATAACTTTTCATCCCTCTTGAGATTATTTGAAACCATTCTTTTGCATACAGATAGCTATAGAACAAGTGCCCATCTTTTGTCACAAATCTGATGATACCAGTGGACATTTCATGAGGAATCAAAGGCTTTTCGCTCAGGAAATTGTTTTGTTCACAGTTTGTTAGGAAATGGGAGCTGTGGAATATGAAAATCAGAGATTCTAACTGCTATGAAATTGATGCAAAAGAGAAACCTGAAACAGTGAGAGGGATGGAGGCATTGTGATATTAAAAGCAGTGTGTTTTTGGGTGGCATTTGCTTTGGCTCTGTGTCAAGTGGCTCTGGCTGTCTGCTCTGCTTGGGATGGGATCCACCTTTCCACTCTGCTGAACAGCTCTGTATTGATGTAGGAACGCCAAGGTGCTTGGCTTTTTTTTTTTTTTTTCCTGGCCATCATTTGGTTAGTTATGCCCTGCATTATTTCCCTGCATAGTGCGCTATACCAAGGTTCAGCAAGGTCACGACTTCCCCAAGGTCGATCACTGAGTTACTGCAGAGGTCGGAGCAGAGTCAGGTTCAGACTACAAAGCCAGAGACACTTTTTGCAAGGAAAATTATTTCTAGAGTATCATAGTTTGGGTTTAGGAGGAATAAATCATTTCTAAAATTAGATATTGTATAGTTGTAGATAATAGGTAATTTTCTCTGATTTCTTTTATGGCAAAGCCTTTCATTGGAATGTGTGATTTTTTTGCCCTACCTTGCTCTGTCTTTATTTTTTTTTCTCCATTCCTACTTTCATAACATTGGATCCAGTTCTCTTATTTCATGGTTTGATTTTTTAATAGTTAAGTCATGAGTTATTACCAGTCTCCCTTGCTTTATTCCAAGCATTAAATTTTTAATTTTAAAATATATATTTTTTTATTTGTTGTAATCAGTTATACATGACAGTAGAGTGCTTTTCAATTCATAGTACACAAATGGAGCACATTTTCATTTCTTTTATGATACACAAAGTAGAGTCACACCATTTGTGTCTTCATACATGTATCTAGGATAATGATGCACGTCTTATTCCACCATCTTTCCTACCCCCATACCCCTTTTCTCCCTCCCCTTTGCCCAATCCAAAGTTCCTCCACTTGTCCCATGCACCGCCCCCCACCCTATTATGGATTTGTGTCCACTTATCAGAGAAAATATTTTGGGGATTGGCTTACTTGGCTTAGCATGATATTCTCCAACTCCATCCACTTACCTGAAAATGCCATACTTTTATTCTCTTTTAGTGCTGAGTCATAGTCCATTGTGTGTGTGTGTGTGTGTGTGTGTGTGTGTGTGTGTGTGTGTGTGTATACTCACCAGAGTTTCTTTATCCATTCATCTGTAGAAGGGCATCTAGGTTAGTTCCATGGTTTGGTTATTGTGAATTGTGCTGCTATAAACATTGATGTGACCAAGCATTAATTTTTTAAAAGTGCTGTTTTTGTATGCACATTTTAAACCTTTGCACCCTGCAAAACTTTGCTCCTTGAAGAATGCCATTTATCCTAGCCTGGGATTTAAAGCACTATGAGATGACTCCAACCTAAATTTAAAGTGATTTTCTCCAGAT